AGCTCCTCTAACCCCTCCTCCCAGCTCCTCCAACCTCTCCCCCAGCTCCTCCAACCTCTCCCCAGCTCCTCCAGCCCCTCCCCCAGCTCCTCTAACCCTCCTCCAGCTCCTCCAACCTCCTCCTCCAGCCCCTCCCCAGCTCCTCTAACCCCTCCCCAGCTCCTCCCCCAGCTCCCCCAACTCCTCCCTGTGGTCTCTGACAGATTAAAGGACTTATGGGTTATTTACGGTTGGATGTGGCCATAATAGCTCTGTCAGCTGTGGTCTGGTTGTAGTTGTGGTGATGAAACCCTCTCTCCATCACTATGGTTACAAGAGAGAGAGAGAGAGAGAGAGAGAGAGAGAGAGACTTCTATTTCAGTACACACACTGTGGGGGTTTCAGTGGACAACACCGCACCAGACTACTCATCGCTCCAAGGCACCCTGGACAGGCTACAGGCATGGACTACGGAGAACAAGGTCACCATCAACCACACCAAAACCGTAGTCATGCACATCAATACCGCCACCACTCCAGTGCAAGCCCCAGCAGTCACAGTGGGTGCCCATCCTCTCCAGCTGGTGCAGTCTGCCAAACTTTTGGGTGTAACTATAGACAACAAACTTGACTGGAAGGCCCATGTAAATAACACAGTCAAGGCAGCCTCGTACCGTCTCTACATGCTACGAAGACTTAGGTCACTTGGGACACCCACGCCAGAGCTGAGGACCATCTACAACGCCTTTATTCTCCCCAAACTAACGTATGCGTCACCAGCCTGGTCGTCTTCTCTCAACTCCACCCAACAACGTTAGCTAGAGAAGGTACAGAAAAGGGCCTGCAGAATCATGCTCTCTCCACCCTGGAAATGCCATCCCTCAGTGACCTCCACCACCAAGCACTGGAAAGGTTTGGCCGTGGACTACTGCACCACCCTCGCCATCGCCACCTCCTGCAGCCCCCCACCCACCTCGCGCAGTCCGCCACTACAACAAAATTCAGCCCATAAGAGCCCGCACCGATAGATATAAGAACAGCACCATCCCATCTATTGTTAAAATAATAAAGAACTCCTGATTTATGTACTGTACAGCCCTGTAAATGTATTCAATGCATATTATATCATTATGTCTAAATCAAATGTAAGTCTGTATATTTTCAGCCACCGGCTGCAACTCTATTAATAAACCGTTTATTATTATTATTTTATTATTATACACACACACACACACACATATACTACTACTACTTCACTGTCACTCGGAATCGAGTATGACGATCATCCAGCTATGATGCAATGATATGAGTTATTGAGGATGCCACCTAGGTTGGTGAGTTATGAGGTGACTAAAGAGGCCGATACGGGACTGACAGAGTCGTTCACAGATGTTGCACATGTGGGTGACTCCATCTAGTGCGGGAGGGGCGGTGGCAGCGTCTTTCCGGCGATGGCGCTTGTCTGCCTCGGTTTGCAGTCGGGCTAACTCGAAAGTATTGACACCTTCTTGTGTGGTGCTCCTCCAAGCGTTATTGTGTGGAGTAATCGTCTCCCAGGTGAGGGGGTCGACTTGGCACTTTTTTAGGTTTGTCTTAAGACTATCCTTATTCCTTTTCAGTTGCCCGCCAGCGTTACGTTTGCTATTCGTTAATTGACTGTAAAGTAGCTGCTTTGGCAGTCTACTGTCGTCCATGCGGGTAACATGGATAGTCTAACGTAGTTATTCATGGATAATGGTAGCCTCGATGATCTTACAGTTGGTGTCAGTAAGAATACTGGCATTTGTTCTCTTGTCTTCCCAGAGAACTCGGAGGATGGAACGTAGACTACGTTGGTGTAAATTTTGAAGTGCCTTGAGGTGCCTCCTGTATGTGACCCATGTCTCACTGCCATATAGCAGGGTGGGAAGAACCACTGCTCGATATACGTGTAACTTTGTAGATAATTTCAGCTCCCTACAGCTGAAGACAAGGGTACGGAGTCTGCCAAAGGCTTGAGATGGACATCTGAACCGATGTTGAATCTCTTCATCGATGTCCGCGGTGATGGACAGGTGGGAGCCGAAATACTGAAAGTGGGTACCATTAGATACTGCAGTACCGTTAAGCTGGATGGATGGTGGAGGTGTGGCTGAACCAGGGGCAGGATGAAAGAGAGTCTGAGTCTTACGTACATTCACCTCAAAGGCCAACAACAGGCTCAGTCCTCACTTGCCCTAACCTAACCTAACCTAACCTAACCTGACCTAACCTGACCTGACCTAACCTAACCATGAGGATTGAGACCCAGTTCGAATCGGTCCTAGTCTTAATGGTCCATACTCCTAATAGGTCCTAGTCTTAATGGTCCATACTCCTAATAGGTCCTAGTCTTAATGGTCCATACTCCTAATGGGTCCTAGTCTTAATGGTCCATACTCCTAATAGGTCCTAGTCTTAATGGTCCATACTCCTAATAGGTCCTAGTCTTAATGGTCCATACTCGTAATAGGTCCTAGTCTTAATGGTCCATACTCATAATTATAGGTCCTAGTCTTAATGGTCCATACTCGTAATAGGTCCTAGTCTTAATGGTCCATACTCCTAATGGGTCCTAGTCTTAATGGTCCATACTCCTAATAGGTCCTAGTCTTAATGGTCCATACTCCTCCCTAATAGGTCCTAGTCTTAATGGTCCATACTCCTAATAGGTCCTAGTCTTAATGGTCCATACTCCTAATAGGTCCTAGTCTTAATGGTCCATACTCGTAATAGGTCCTAGTCTTAATGGTCCATACTCATAATTATAGGTCCTAGTCTTAATGGTCCATACTCGTAATAGGTCCTAGTCTTAATGGTCCATACTCCTAATGGGTCCTAGTCTTAATGGTCCATACTCCTAATAGGTCCTAGTCTTAATGGTCCATACTCCTAATAGGTCCTAGTCTTAATGGTCCATACTCCTAATAGGTCCTAGTCTTAATGGTCCATACTCGTAATAGGTCCTAGTCTTAATGGGTTCCGGTCTTATATGTTAGGTCAGGTTGGGGTCTTTTAGGATTTAGGAGCCATTACACCACTCAACCTTAGCACTAAATTCAGTGGGAGTGACCGAGTGAGTGAGCGTGGGAGTGAGTGAGTGAGTGAGTGAGCGTGGGAGTTAGTGAGTAACTCCAGAATTACCAGGAATTCCACGAGAGAAAATTCCACTCACCCAATACACAAGAGTGGGATACAATAACGCCATGTGGATATTTTTCCCCGAGCCAGATAATAGTCCACTAGGTAAGTAAAGGTGGATAGAATTCCATCCTTTGGTTTTTTATTGATAAAGCCCTGATACTTGGTTAGGTTAGGTTAGGTTAGGCTAGGTTAAGTAGGGTAGGTTAGGTTTGGTTAGGTTAGATTAGGTTATTTGGATAGGTTAGGTGGGATAGTTTAGGTTAGGGTTAGGTTAGGTTAAATAGGATAGGTTAGGATTGGTTACGTTAGGTTGAAATATAGCAGACAGTGACATCAGTTCATTAACACTATGACCACAACTGACACACAAGATACTGGTGTTGTTGATGGGAATTCTACATGTAAGAAGAATGACTACTTAAGTGTCAGTTTTAAACAGATCTCGCCCTCTTCAGAATTTGTTAGAGGTCTTGTGAGGAGAAACTTCCCACCCAAGTTTCAAGAAAATCTGTCAACACCTTCAAGAGTTATCATCACGTTGACAGGAGGGATGGATGGCAAGTGTGGTGGTCATGGCGGCGAGCGTTACTCCATATCCCACCAATTCGTTCAGGATATAATAAGTGTGAATATTCCAGCCCTATGAATTTGCATATATTGCTTGCGGGGATAATGCATGCATTGGCTGTGCATATATATGTCCTCAATATTGCAAACAGATTGTGTGTGAATATTTTGCCTCGTGACATTAAACCTGAAGCCCACGCTGGAGACTTTGTCTACCACACAGTCCGTATATACCGACGCAATATTGCGGCTCCGACAGTGTGTACATAATATTGGGTGAAATCTTGACGTTAATATCATTCACAATTTTCTGGGGGAAATTTCTAATCCCGACGGTGTATAAAAATTGTAAGTGTATTGATTTTGTCATTTTCCGAGATAGGTAAAAGATAATTAGTTGCTGAGATAAGCAGAGGCCACAGCTCTCGTGAATAAAGCTGAGTACTGATGGTTATCGGACACGCTCTACATACTGAAGCGGCATGTTTGGAGTCACATCTATCCGCCAAATATTTCTTAAGGTACAATATATGAATCTCTTAATACTGCGTAGTCGAGGGGAGACCATCTTAAATAACATCTTACTCCCAGAATACTTGATTTTTTTCCCAGTTTCTTATCCTTTGCACAAGAGTTTCATTTCAGATAATCCCCTCAGGAAAGAGATCTATGTTGTCACCTCAGGACATAACAAGATATTGGTATACAAGAAATAAATGTTATGTGTCAGGGTACTGTCACCACTTGTACCGAACAAGACGCGATTCTTTATAACCCGACTTTTTTTTTCCCATATGACCTTAAATGTAATGTTTTTTGATGATCTGAATAATCTCCGCTAGCAAGGTCTGTTTATCTCACGGGGATTTAATATAACCTTCTCGCCTCTTATCTATGGCCGGGAGGGGTGTGGGGATGACTTACCTAAGGGCGTGGGCATGGCTTATCTAATGCCGTGGGTATGACTTACTTTAGGGCGTGGGCATGACTTACCTAAGAGCGTGGGCATGGCTTATCTAATGCCGTGGGTATGACTTATCTAAGGGAGTGGGCATAACTTACCTAAGAGCTTGGGCATGGCTTATCTAATGCCGTGGGTATGACTTACTTAAGGGAGTGGACATAACTTACCTAAGGGCGTGGGCATGACTTACCTAAGAGCGTGGGCATGGCTTATCTAATGCCGTGGGTATGACTTACTTAAGGGAGTGGGCATAACTTACCTAAGAGCTTGGGCATGGCTTATCTAATGCCGTGGGTATGACTTACCTAAGGGCGTGGGCATAACTTACCTAAGGGCGTGGGAGCGGAGTTCCTTGGACTGCTGGACCTCCTCCATGGGCAGGCCACGGAAGGGCGTGAACACCTCCTGAACGTCTGGGTGAGTCTCAAACAACCTGGCGAGGAGACAGTTGAACAATGAACCAACGATTCAAGAATTAAACAAGTAATTCTATTGATCAGTAAAATAATCAGTTAATCAGGAAGTGAATGAATCAGTCAATTATATCAACACAGAGGGATATCAAGTAGTTAATTTAATAGTCATCAAACTCAATTAATTAATACACATAAATCTATCAACATTCAGAGTCAGTATTCAATTGCGTCAGTCGGTCATTCTTGTTCAGCCAAAAATGACACCTTTACCTGCAACAGATTGATTAATTGACTGATTGCGTCTACCACTCGTATCCAAGGCTTCAGACTCTCAAAAATAACTCAGAACCCACTGCAGTTACGGTCGAGTCTTGGTGTAATTTCGACGCCATTATACTGTACTGTACCTATCCTTTATGTGCCATATAGCATTAGTGAACTCCATAGCTACGTAATTGAACACACACACACACACACACACACACACACACACACACACACACACACACACAAGACACGTTAAGGGGAAGTACTGTACTTAACCCTACGACCGTAAACAAACCGTGTTGGATAAACTTATCGCAAATCCTAGGATAAAAGTGTAGCAAATCGACCTCAAGCGATACTTAGATAGACTTATGACCGTACTCTGTTTTACGGTAAAATGCACAAACTTGCCATTTGCCGTAAATTTCAGGACCGTGGACAATGGAGGTGGGGGATTAGTCTCTTTGTGGTAAAATTTGGCCAATGTACTGAACAGCAGGTGAACGAGACGAGTGGACACATTCTACATGACATGATTTATGGGGTGGGGGGGGGTGGTGGGGGGATTCTTTAGTTTGAAGGAGTGATTGCAAATGAAGAGAGAGAGAGAGAGAGAGAGAGAGAGAGAGAGAGAGAGAGAGAGAGAGAGAGAGAGAGAGACCCTCTTGAGTCCAGCCACTTCGCCTCAGAAGGGAAATGTTCGGAGAAATGGAAGAGAAAAAACTAGAGTGTATGATATTTTTGCCTACCGAGGTAAATATTGTAAGTGTGTGTGTGTATGTGGGTTAACTGAGATCTGAGTGAAGAAGGAGTTAAAATTCTTGTTAAAATGTCAAAATATTTTAATTTATAATTAGTCAAGTATAACATTCAGAAATACTGTACCTGTACGACTGTATGTAAAGTATACCTAAAGTTACAGGTATAGACATTGTTACAGGTACAGACTTCTAAATCTAGTCGTTATTAACCTGGGGATGTAATTAACCAATCATCTCTCACTCACTGTACAGTACGTAAAAGGAGGAATCAATGCCTAAAGCTGTGTTGTGTAAGAGTAAAACCACCTGTGTGTGATGATAAATCTCTCCTGTTACCGCGGCTCTTCAGTATAGTACTATGTAAAGTGAATATAAGCCTCGGCATAAGAGTGAAGGAGGGTGTCTTAATATAAAGTTAAGTGGAGCCAGTTCAAAGGTTGTATTGGCATGATGTAGGTTTTGGAGAGTGTGTGTATAATATCATAGACTAACTGTGCAACTTTAAGGCGCGCCACGGTAAAAATATTCACCTGGGATGCGGAGATATTGTATCTATATCCATAGTCTAGGATATTTTGTTTTCCGAAATGTTTATCAATTTTCCTAAAACTTCACATTTGACGTGATATTATGGGATATAGTCTACTAACTCCTTGTACAAGATGGCCTTTGAACTAAATAAAATCGTCTGCCATTACTAAAATAAAATGTGAAGGTATTAATTATTATTATTATTATTTTTTTACACTTGGATACAGAGGTAATGTCTCCTGTACATATCAAAGTCACAGAAATAAAATCGTGACAATTTACTCCAATATGACTACTTAATTCTTGGTATCGTGGACTGGGAGTTGCGGCAGATGTTATATGCACATTATGCCGTTTTACTGATCAAATTATTTAGTCACAAAAAATGATTAGACAGAAATAACAATTAATATGGTGAGTTATGATTATTATAAAAAAAATTTATATAGGCAAATGACAAGAACCAATAATATAAAAAAATAAAAAATATATATAAAAGTCCTAAATGAATATAAAATCGGGAGAGCCAAAAATATTTATAAAAATAACATTATTTTTTGTTTAGAAAAAAAAAACAATGTAATAACACCATTGAAAAATATTGAAAGAAACTGACAAAAATTTGAAATTTTAGAAAAAATAGAATGAAAATATTTGAATTATTAAAAGAAATTATGACTTAAACTTGGAGTTAATTAAATGACATCAAAGAAGCAGTATTAAAATAACAGGCAAATAAAAAGTTTAAGACGAGAAATGATGAGATAGATAGATAGATAGATAGATAGATAGATAGATAGATAGATAGATAGATAGATAGATAGATAGATAGATAGATAGATAGATAGATAATTTACGCTAATGTAGTGTTGTGAGGAAGATCGTAATATAAAATATACACAAAATATCAAAAACTTTAACATTTTACTTAAAGAAATGCAGACGGTGTATAACTCTTTCTTGCCCCGAGTCTCTTTTGATGTGTGTAAACTCAGTCTTTAAAAAAATGTTACGAAAAAAAAAAATACCCAGGGCTAAACTTTCCTCTGGCTCGTGTGTGTGTGTGTGTGTGTGTGTGTGTGTGTGTGTGTGTGTGTGTGTTTTAGTCTCTTGTATCTCTTTGTTTCTCTGTTCCTCTCCATTTCTCGTTCATTCTCCTCCTTTTTAAAATTCTGTCTTTTACTGTCTGTCTCGGTTTATATTTCTGTCTATCAGTTTCTCTCTTTGCATCTCTCTTTTATTTCATTGTATCTCCCCCTCTCTCACTGTCTCTATCTCTATCTCTCTTCAAGTCTCTTTTAATGCTTCTCTTTATCTTTCTCTTTATTCTTCCTCAGCATCTTTCTCTCTTTCAGTCTCCTTCTCTGTCTGTAATCCCTTGTTTCACTCTCTCCCTCTCTCTCTAATTATCAGCTTCAATTTCCTTTTCTCTTGGTATCTCTCTATTTCACTCTCCCTCTCTCTCTCTAATTATTCTGTATCTCTTATTATTCAACTCTTTGATGTCGTCGCCACAAGCTGCATGATAATTAACACTTATCAAAGAGGTTAAAGTTTCTAAAGGTCATTTTCCTTTCTCGTATTCTGAGTTTTGTTATGAAAAATTCAACTCGTCGACAAAGTGATCTGCCTGAAACTATTATGCAAACTAGGCCGCCAGGAAACTTGTGTGTGTGTGTGTGATTGATAGTGTTCACACGGTAGTCATTAATAGTCCAGAGGTGAAAGATTACCATGTTAACTTTGCCGCTATACTGAAAGTGTCCCAAACCGAGACCAAACACACACTCTTTTAATTTGTTGTCGCCCACTCATTCCCTCTCCTGCTGTAAAACACTGGAACACCACTCCGCCCAACCCTCTCTTTTCATTCACGTTTATTCATCCGTCATACCTACGTGATGGGAGTGGTTTGGAAATGGTATTGGATGATTGATATTGCAAGGTGTAACTGTTAACAGATGGTAGATGTAATGTTAACTGTCTGTACCTGGCAGTCATTGTCGTTCTTATGACGATAAACAATAGAATAATTTTTCAGCCATTTATGAATGATAAATATATTCTATCTTTGACAACTACAGAGCTGCCTAGGTACACAAAACGTAGTATTATCAGCCAATGACAGGAGAGTGATGGAATATTCAGCCAATGAGAGAGGAGAGTGTGGTATTATGATTACTTCGTGCATTTGTCAATAGATTGCGTAAGAATGTAATATAATCATTCTCTACAGAAGGCGTTGCTTTTCTACAGCGCTTTCAATAGGGAGAGTTACGTCCACTCATAAACCTCGCGTTGTGAAGCTTCCTGTGTATATAAGGCGCTGCTCGCTGAAGCTCTGCTAAAGTAAATCTCGCCACCACGTAAACAGATGACGTCATGTTTTAGTAGGCAAACTTTTTCATAAGTGCACTGTTACCAGCCGCTATTTCGTAAACCTTGAGTTGTCGTAACTCTGTTTATAGATGGCGCTGTTTTTGATGATAACATGCTGTGAGCCTTCTTGTTATGCTGATACCCGCGCTGTAGGATGCATGTAGTTGTGGTGGCAGTATTTGGTGAGTGGAGTAATGCTCTTATTTCTATTTTGGCTGAGGCTTACAAAACAACGCCACTAAATCCTATTGTCGACGCCATTAACCAATCTCCTACAAACTTCCGTGAATGACAGGACATCCGTATGGTTTTCTCACCTCGCTGTCCTCTCTACTTTTACCTCCTTGTCACACGTCCCAAGGCTAATCCAGCTTACGTAAAGGGGAAGACAGAGTCAGCCTCAAGCTTTGGAAAATCCCATAGGAAGGCGTACGAGGTGCACGTGACAGTCACTGGGAATATACAGTACACTAGTCACTCGCCTAGAAATGGTGGCTTAGGCTTATCCTGCCCCAATCCCTTCAGAAAGCGCAACATTTGGAAAAGAATTGACATGTGTGTATGTGTAGTTTATGTATACCATTTTTGACATACATACATACATACATACATACATACATACATACATACATACATACGCATAGAATAACAGATAAACTGAAGCATTCTGTATATGTTAGTGAAAAAATAAAAAGGTTTGAAAATAAGTAAACCTCAAAAAACATGAAGAATGTTGGAGATACAAACGGCGTTCACTCGTGTTTAATCTAGTTTTCATTTATCCTTTTTCTCGCCACATTATTGGTGTGCGTAATTGCATTCTTGTTTCTCCATTTTTCTTCATTCTTCAACCTACCCAGCACTCCTCCTCCTCCTCCTTCTCCTCCTCCTCCTTCCCCTTCTCCTCCTCCTCCTTCCCCTTCTCCTCCTCCTCACTTCTGTACTTGATCACGGCGTCAGTTTAAGCTGTCATAACCCACTTGTCTGTTTTTATAACATTTATATGGTAATTAATTCACCGTTAAAACAACCGATTCTGTCCACAATTTGCATTCATTAATTACTTAACATTGGTGGCTTCAAGAACGTAACTACCGCAGTC